AATAAATTTCTGGACACACCACCAAAAATGGCGGAGTACACAGCTCCATAAGCATCTCTTCAAAGAAACATCGAAAAACCAAGCAAAAACTGTCAGAATCAACTTCGTTAGCACTCTGGAAAACAGGCAAACAGTGGCCAAACTTAAAATACGTTTTTTTGCCCGGCGCGGTGGCTCAAGCCTGTAATCCCAGCACTTTGGGAGGCCGAGTCGGGTGGATCACGAGGTCAAGAGATCAAGACCATCCTGGCAACACGGTGAAACCCCGTCTCTACTAAAAATACAAAAAAAAATTAGCTGGGCATGGTGGCACATGCTTGTAATCCCAGCTACTCAGGAGGCTGAGGCAGGAGAATTGCCTGGGCCCAGGAGGCGGAGGTTGCGGTGAGCCGAGATCGCGCCATTGCACTCCAGCCTGGGTAACAAGAGCGAAACTCCATCTCAAAAAAAAAAACAAAAACATTTTTTTTTTTTTTTTTTTGAGACAGAGTCTTGGTCTGTCTTCAGGCTGGAGTGCAGTGGCGAGATCTTGGCTCACTATAACCTCGAACTCCCTGGTTCAAGAGATTCTCCTGCCTCAGCCTCCTCCCAAGTAGCTGGGACTACAGGCGTGTGCCACCACACCCAGCTAATTTTTATAATTTTAGTAGAGACGGGGTTTTCATCATGTTGGTCAGGATGGTCTTGATCTCCTGACCTCATGATCCACCCACCTCTGCCTCCCAAAGTGCTGGGATTATAGGCATGAGACACTGAAAATACATTAAGTTGGCCTTTTTCCATCAAGGCCAACTTAAAAGTATCAGGAGCCGGGCACGGTGGCTCACGCCTATAATCCCAGCACTTTGGGAGGCTGAGGCGGGTGGATCACAAGGTCAAGAGATCGAGACCATCCTGGTTAACATGGTGAAACCCCGTCTCTACTAAAAATACAAAAACATTAGCTGGGCATGGTGGCACGTGCCTGTAATCCCAGCTACTCAGGAGGCTGAGGCAGGAGAATTGCCTGAATCCAGGAGGCGGAGGTTGCAGTGAGCCGAGATCGCGCCATTGCATTCCAACATGGGTAACAAGAGCAAAACTCCATCTCAAAAAAAAAAAAAAAAAAAAAAAAAAGTATCAGGAAAGCTATGTGAAACATCCTAAAGCCCTTGAGTCTGTCCCATCCTTTGCTCTAGCTTGACGGTGACATTGAAGACTTCCTGCTTTCCCAGTATAAGCTCATAGCCCAATTCCAGAGTGCACAAAACAGACCTTTTTTTTTTTTTGAGACAGAGTTTCGCTCTTGCTACCCAGGCTGGAGTGCAATGGCGCGATCTCGGCTCACCGCAACCTCCGCCTCCTGGGTTCAGGCAATTCTCCTGCCTCAGCCTCCTGAGTAGCTCGGATTACAGGCATGTGCCACCATGCCCAGCTAATTTTTTTGTATTTTTAGTAGAGACGGGGTTTCACAATGTTGACCAGGATGGTCTCGATCTCTCCACCTTGTGATCCACCCGCCTCAGCCACCCAAAGTGCTGGGATTACAGGCTTGAGCCACCGTGCCCGGCTAGCAGACCTTTTTAATTAAAGAACTGTGTTTGGTCAAGGCGTGATGGCTCACACATGTAATCCCAACACTTCAGGAGGCCAAGGTGGGTGGATCACCTGAGATCAGGAGTTTGACACCAAGCCTGCCCAACATGGTGAAACGCCAACTCCACTAAAAATACTTTAGGCTGGACATGTTGACTCACATCTGTAATCTCAGTACTTTGGGAGGCCAAGGCGGGTGGATCACCTGAGGTCAGGGGTTTGAGACCAGCCTGGCCAACATGGCAAGACCCTGCCTCTACTAAAAAAATAAAATAAAAATTAGCCAGTTGTGGTGGCAGGTGCCTGTAATCCCAGGTATTGGGGAGGCTGAGGCAAGAGAATTGCTTAAACCCAGGAGGCAGAGGTTGTAGTGAGATCACGCCATTGCACTCCAGCCTGGGTAACAAGAGTGAAATTCCGCAAAACACAAACAAAAAAACAATGAACCCAAATGAAGAGAGCCTAAGTGACTTATTTATGGAACACCATCAAGCAATATGTACATTATGGCACTTCAAAAAGAAAAAGAGAGGCAAGGACAAAACTATTTGAAGAAATAATGACCCAAAACTTTCCAAATTTAAGGGAAAATATGGAGAGAGATATATATATCTCTAAGAACCTCAACAAACCCCAATAAGATGAATCCAAAAAGGAGCACACCAAGACACATATTCAAATTGTCAAAAGCCAAAGACAGGCTGGGTGCAGCCTGGGGGACAAGAGCTAAACTTCATCTCAAAAACCTCATGCCTATAGTCCCAGCTTTTTCAGAAGCCAAGGCAGGGGGATCATTTGAGCCAAGGAGTTCAAGACCAACCTGGAGCACATGGTGAAACCCTGTTGCTACAAAAAATACAAAAATTACCTGGGCGTGTTGACATCCCTCTACTCCTATCTACTCAGGAGGGTGAGATGGGGAGGATCACTTGAGCCCTGGAGTTTGAGACCAGCCTGGGAAACACAGTAAACCCTGTCTTGAAAGGCATCCCCTGTTCATGTACTGAAAGCTCTAACTTTTAAGACAGCAATACTACCCAAATAAGATGCAGATTAACCATAATCGCTATCAAAATTCCAATGGCTTTTTTTTTTTTTTTTGGCAGAAATAGGTAAGTCAGTCCTCAAATTCATGTGGAATTGCAAGACACCCTTAACAGCTAATATCGAAAAAGAAAAATAAGACTGAAAGATTCACACGTCCCAATTTCAAAACCAACTACAAGGTAGCAATAATCAAAAGACTATCATATTGGCACAGAAACAGGCATATAGATCAATGGCAAAACCCCATCTCTATAAAAAATAGCCAGACATGGAGGCTTGGGCCTGTAGTCCCAGCTGCTTGGGAAGCCAAGGTGGGCGGATTGCTTGAGATCAGGAGTTCGAGATCAACCTGGGCAAAATGGCAAAACCCGTCTCTACTACAAATACAAAAATTAGCTGGGCATGTTGGCATACTCCTGTAATCCTAGCTACTCGGGAAGCTGAGGCAGAATTGCTTAAACTCAGAAAGCAGAGGTTGCAATGAGCTGAGATCTCACCACTTGCATTCCAGCCTGGGCAACAGAGTGAAACTGTCTCAAAAGAAGACACAAAACAACAACAACAACAACAACAACAACAACAACAAAAACCTTTTGTTTTTCAAAAGCCACCAGAAAAAGAAAGGACATATCACAGACTGTGAGAAAATATTTGCAAATCATACATACTATTAAGGTCTTATACCTAGAATATGCATAGAACTCTTACAATTCAACAACAAAAAGTAACACAACCCAATTCAAGAATGGGCAAAGGAACTGATGAGATATTTTTCTAAAGAAAGTAAACAACTGGCCAGTGAGAATTTGAAAAAAATGTTCAATATTAAGTCATTGGAGAAATGAAATTAAATGAAAATCTGCCAGGCGCAGTGGCTCATGCCTGTAATCCCAGCACTCTGGGGGACTAAAGCAGGAGAATCACTTGAACCCAGGAGGCAGAGGTTGCAGTGAGCCGAGATCGTGCCATTGCACTCCAGCCCAGGCAGCAGAGCAAGAATCCATCTCCAAAAAAAAAAAAGAGAGATATGAAAATCGAAATCACAATGATACCACTTCACACTTAGTATAAAAAAAAATACTGGATTTTAAAAACCAAAAAACAGGGCAGAATCCGTCTCAAAAATAAAAAAAGAAGAAATGAAAATCAGTATCACAATGAGATACCACTTCACAACCAGTATAAAAAAACACAGCAATTAAAAAACCCAAAAAACAGGCCAGGCATGGTGGCTCACGCCTATAATCCCAGCATTTTGGGAGGCTGAGGTGGGCGGATCATTCAAGATCAGCCTGCCAACATGGTAAAACCCCATCTCTACTAAAAATACAAAAATTAGCTGGACATGGTAGCGGGCACCTGTAGTCCCAGCTACTTGGGAGGCTAAGGCATGAGAATTGCTTGAAGCCGGAAGGTGGAGTCTGCAGTGAGCTGACATCATGCCATTACACTCCAGCCTGGGAGACAAAAGCTAAACTCCATCTCAAAACAGAAACAAACCCCCCTCAAAAAAAAAAACACGTAAAAATGAGAAACAAATGTATAGGTATATACTCAAAAGAACTCAAAACAGGTACTCAATACTTGTATATGAATGCTCATAGCAGCATTATTCCTAACAGCCAAAAGGTAGAAACAATCCAAATGTCCATCAACTATTGAATGGTAAATTGTGGTATACACATATACATACAATGGAATATTACTTAGCATACTGATACATGCTACACAGATGAACCTCAAGAACATTATGCTAAGTGAAAGAAGCCAGGCCCAAAAGGTCATGTACTACATGATTCTATTTACATGAAGTATTCAGAATTGGTAAATCCAGGCACAGCAGATTGGTATGATAGTTCCTAAGTGTTGGGAGGAGATAAGATAATGGAGAATGACTGCTTAACGGATACAGGGTTATTTGTTCTTTTGGGGTAATAAAAATGTATTGTAACTAGACAGAGATGGTAGTTATATAATATTGTGAATGTACTAAAACTGAAAATGGTTAATTTTTTTTTTTTTTTAAATTTGAGACAGAGTCTGTTGCCCAGGTTGGAATGCAGTGGTGTGATCCTGGCTCGCTGCAACCTCTGCCTCCTGGGTTCAAATGAATTCTTCTGCCTCAGACTCCTGGGTAGCTGGGATTATAGGCGTGCGCCACCAGGACCAGCTAATTTTTGTTATTTTTAGTAGAGACAGGGTTTTACCATCTTGACCAGGCTGATCTCTAACTCCTGACCTCAAGGGATCCAACTGCCTCATCCTCCCAAAGTGCTGGGATTACAAGTGTCAGCAAACATGCCTGGCCCGAAAATGGTTCATTTTATGTTACATGAATATAACTTTAATAAAATTTTTAAAAGGGAGATTTATTATACCTTGTCTTTCTTTCCTTTTTTTGTCTTTTCAGGTGGTGGCATTTTGGGAGCTGGTGGTGGTGGTGGAGGAGGAGGAGGTGGAGGTGGTGGTGGTTCTATAATGGCAGTGGTAGGCACAGCACCTCGGGCCTGGACTGGCTGCAATGAGGGAGCAGTCACTCCAATTGGGACAGAACATTCTGCATAACTCATAATTGCAGGTGCTGCCGCTAGTCCAAGGTAATTTGGCTGCAGGCTCATTCCTCTGGCCTGATGACCCATTCCTGCTGCTGGATGGCTGACTGGTATTGTCTGATGTCCAATTCCTGTCGCCTGGTTTCCAATCCCTGCTGCCTGGAGACCTAACACAGAAAACATAAAATGATACTATAAAAAGGACATCATGATAAGAACAGAGCCAATGAATCTAATATACCCTTATCTAAAAGATACAGCCATATTTGCTAGCAGCAAAATACATTAATTTTGAATATCCTGGCATTAAACTACCTAAACATCAAAATCATCCATATACATAAATGTACAAAAGACAATCTGGAAGGATACATGATGAACATTATTTTTTTTTTTTTTTTTTTTGAGACGGAGTTTCGCTCTCGTTACCCAGGCTGGAGTGCAATGGCGCGATCTCGGCTCACCGCAACCTCCGCCTCCCGGGCTCAGGCAATTCTCCTGCCTCAGCCTCCTAAGTAGCTGGAATTACAGGCACGCACCACCACGCCCAGGTAGTTTTTTGTATTTTTAGTAGAGACGGGGTTTCACCATGTTGACCAGGATGGTCTCGATCTCTCGACCTCGTGATCCACCCGCCTCGGCCTCCCAAAGTGCTGGGATTACAGGCTTGAGCCACCGCGCCCGGCTCATTTTTTGTTTTTGAGACAGGGTCTTGCTCTGTCGCCCAGACTGGATGGGAGTGCAGCAGTATGATCACAGCTCATTGCAACCACAACCTCCAGGGCTCAAGTGATCTTCCCACCTCTGTCTCCCAAGTAGCTGGGACTACAGGCGCGAACTTGGCTCACTGCAACCTCTGCCTCCTGGGTTCAAGTGATTCTCCTGCTTTAGTCCCCCAGAGTGCTGGGATTACAGGCGTGAGCCACTGCGCCTGGCTGATTTTCATTTAATTTAATTTCATTTCTCCACTAGGCCTGGCTAATTTTTCTAATTTTTTGTAGACAGGCTTTTGTCATATTGCCCAGGCTGGTCTACAACTCCTAGCTCAAGCAATCCACTGGCCTCAGATTCCCAAAGTGCTGAGATTATAGATGTGAGCCACTGTGCATGGCCAATTAAACAGTTAAAAGTGTTTTTTTTTTTTTTTTTGGAAGTAACATAAATGCAAACGGTCTCTGCAAAGAACTTTAACATTTCTTTAATTTTTATAGCATCTAATGCTGGGAAAGAAAATAAACAATACATTGAGAAAAAAACATGCTTTAATCACAATTACCTGTAGCTATAGCTGACTGGCTATAGAGAACTGGAGAACTGCCAATGGTAGCTGACCTCTGAACCACTGCAGTACTAATTTCTGTAGCTTTCCTTTTTATCCCTTTAGTGGAAGGAGAACTAGAAATGGTGGAATCCACTGAATTCTGAAACACAAAAATTTGTGATCAGTGGCTGAAGGCCCTGGTTAAACATACACCACCCCCTCTCCTTTTTTGAGACAGAGTCTCGTTCTGTTGCACAAACTGCAGTGGTGAGCTCATGACTCACTGCTATCTCCTGGGTTTAAGCAATCCTCCCGCCTTGACCTCTCAAAAGCACCAGGACTATAGGCATGAGCCACTGTTCCCAGCCTTTAAAACATACACTTCTAAAATAAAATATGGTGTCAAGTATGCTCCATCCTCAAAATCATTCAGAATGCCAATGGACATTACTCACCTGAGTAGTTACAACTGTGGTTTGTGCTGAAGGTTTCAAAGGGGTATCCTCCTCTGTTCCTGGGGCAGGGGGCTCCTCACTTCCCTCATCCTCCATCTCTACCTCCTGGATCTCACCATCTTCCACAGGAGGAGGTGGTGGAGGAGGGGGTGGAGGTGATTCTGGAGGTGGAGGTGGGGGAGGTGGCATTTCCAAGGGTAATGGAGGTTGAAGCACAGGAACATTTGACTGAAGGAGGGTCCAGAATGGAGTAAATGGCATAAGTGATGAAGAAGAAACTTGACCAGAAAAGGGTTCTTTACAAAGAGAACCTATGAAAACAAATAAGAATCAGGAAAAAAGCAAGACAAAAACTCGCAGGCTTATATTCATAGAAACGTTCAACTGGTCAGTAAAACAAACATCTACAGGAACCCAGCACAGTATATAAAATAGTATAGAATTCGGTGTTAAACAGTAGGGAGTGGCTCCTTCCTATAAAAAAAAAAAAAAAAAAAAAAAAATGTGGCCCACAGGCATCTATTCTATACTGATGTAACTAAAATATTCAACAACTCAGTTCAGAAATGACATCCATGGAAATATAAATTGATGAACCTCACAGTTGGTACCTTCCCCATCTGTGTTATACCTGTCTTGTCCTTTGGGTCCATATTTATGGATGAGTAGAAGAAAAATATTACATTGACTCAATGAGAAATGCAGTCATCTGAATCTGTAGTTTGAAGTTTTTTGTCTTAAACACTCACAAGCTTCAACATATACAAATAAAAAGCAACAGTCTGGAGTCTTTATTTCAAAAGTGAAGGAGTAAGTGAATAATGTGCACCTGCAATAATTATTCCACGTACTTTATTTTATTTTTTTATTTTTTTGAGACAGAGTTTTGCTCTTGTTGCCCAGGCTGGAGTGCAATGGTGCAATCTCTCAGCTCACTGTAACCTCTGCCTCCCAGGTTCAGGCGATTTTCCTGCCTCAGCCTCCTGAGTAGCTGGGATGACAGGCTTGAGCTACCATGCCTGGCTAATTTTTGCGTTTTTTAGTATAAACAGCATTTCACCACGTTGGTCAGGCTTTATTTTTTAGTGAGCTAGATAAAGTGAGTGAAGATGACCCAAAGCATTCATTCAAAACTCAGAAAAATTCTACCCGTTGTGTTTAATTTGGGTTACTAAGTTTTAAAAATTCATTTGCAAGGTGCTACTTGTCAACTATATCATTCCTTCACACCTTTGCATATATTACATTAATTTGTGAAATCACAGAGACACAAAGGGCAATTTTTACTTTTGTGATGATAAAAGAGAAACGTAGGAAATCTTCAAAGTAGGTAATTCAGATTTTTAAAACTGCAGAGGTTTTGAAATTGCTGTTGCTGAAGTCTGTATTACAAAATTGTAGCTGAAAAGCTGCAGGATTAGCTTTTCTCAAACTGCAAAAGCCACCATTTTTTACTGTCCTTTCTCTGCTGGGAAAACCTTTAAGATTAGAGAAAACAGGATATACTTACTTGTAGCCTTCCCCAGCCCTCTTTATCGTCAATAGGGAAGTTTCACAATATATGGGACTATTAGATATATATCCCAGGAATGTTGAAGGGAATTTTCTCCCTAAAATCATAGAATTTAGGAGTAGAAGAGACATGAGAAATCATCTATTTCAACTTTCTCAATTAAAGGTAATGAAACCCAGGCAGGAACTAACTTGCCCAAGATAATATCAATGTTAGTGGCCAGGCCAGAATCAGAGCTTGAGCTCAAGTCTGATTCCTCATCTAATACTTCCTGTTTTACTAGGATGTCCTAGTGAAATACCAGAAATCCAAGAGCTTTCCACATCTCAGTTTAAAAAAAAAAAAAAAAATCTCACTTCACCTGGAGTAGATACCCAGAAGTCACCCGTTAAATTTCATGGTCAAAAGTGGTAGATTAAATGAAGCTCAATAATGAAAGACGCTAGGGCAAGAAGGCCATTGACACTGCTTTGCTTAAAATACACACTGACACTCAACAAGGTAAAATAAAGCAACATGAGCCATTTGGGTCTTGCTCTGCTGCCCAGGCTGGAGTGTAGGTGGTGCAATCATAGCTCACTCTAACGTCAAACACTTGGCTCAAGCAATCTTCCTGCCTCCCGAATTGCTAGGACTACAGGTGTGTACCACACCTGGCTAATTTTTAATTTTTTTTTTTTTTAAAGAGACAGTCTCACTATGTTGCCCAAGCTGGTTACAAATAGAGTACTTCTACTTTTCATGGAACAGACAGACAGTACATTGTGTAAAAGACTAACAACATCATTCACATTGTCTCCCATTATTTTAAGATAGCTGCTTACTGCTACTTTTGGAAATGGACATTGAAAACAATTCACCAGAAGCATAAATGCAGTTTTCTGGGTAACTGAGCTCAAATGGTTCATTAACCTTTTCTATTTGGCCATATTTAATATTAAATTATGCATTAACTTTTAGACAAAGTCGAGTATGGCCAAATAGTCTACATTATATAATAGTACACAAGGACTACATCTGAACTAAGGTAACACTGAGGATTATTAACTTAAAGTAGATAAATATAAGTTTTTCTCTATTTTTTTCTTTGTTTTTAAAGACTAGTCAAGTGAAGCAGTTGGAATGGAGTAGGAACAAAGTCTGTAAGTGGTTGTGATCAACTAGTTGTAAACATCACTGCACTCAGAGCAGCCAGATTTTCAATTATTGTTAGATTATCTATAAGCATAATGAGATACTAACATGTTTATGATGGTGACATGTGGCTATGCAGAGGAACTGAAGGAGACACAGAGCAGATTCAAGGTTAACAGCGGTGTATGACTTCCAATATGACCTCCAAAAGAGCTAATTAGAATTAAGTAAACTCTGTAAATATGAGATTATAAATTTGATAAATTTAGACTTGATAAATTTAACCACAAACAAGGAGCATTTTTAGCATTTGTGAATCCAGTATTTTTTTTTCTTTTCTTTTTGAGATGAAGTCTCACTCTTGTGGCTGGAGTAGGGTGGCGTGATCTCGGCTCACTGCAACCTCCGCCTCCCGGGTTGAAGCAGTTTTCCTGCTTCAGCCTCCTGAGTAGCTGGGAATACAGATGCACACCACCATGCCCGACTAATTTTTGTATTTTTAGTAAGAGATGGGATTTCGCCATGTTGGCCGGGCTGGTCTCAAACTCCTGACCTTAAGGTGATCTGCGAGCCTTAGTCTCCCAAAGTGCTGGGATTACAGGTGTGAGCCACCACACCCAGCCTCTGCTTTTGTATTTCATAAGCATGTCAAATTCCCATATACAATGTGTCTCCCTCAAACTTTGTTATAAGGTCAGCACATTACCCATCTCACATGAAAATAAATAAAAATACCTCAATCTCCAACTAAATTTATTCAAAACATAAAAGCTATATCATATTATTGACTATTATCTCCTTTGCCTTACACACAAAGACCATTAGAAAATTCTAATTTGAATATACATGGATGTCAGATTACAATGATGCTCCTCCTTGCCTTTAAATTTAACCTAGCTGGAATTTTTGCTGTTTAAAAGAATATTTAAGTCTGAAGTCCAAGGAGAGATTAAAATGGTACACAGTTTTTATTATGTGCTAAAAGATTTAAAAGTTACAAGTTTAAAACTGAGTACGTTATGAGGATACAAATTATTAATTTTTTTTTCCAGATGGAGTCTCACTCTGTTGTCCAGGCTGGACTGCAGAGTGCAATCTCAGTTCACTGCAATCTCTGCCTCCTGGGTTCAAGTGATTCTCCTGCCTCAGCCTCCCGAATAGCTGGGATTACAGGCATCTGTCACCACGAGTGGATAATTTTTGTATTTTTAGTAGAGATGGGGTGTCACCATGCTGACTGGTCTCAAACTCCTGACCTCAAGTGATCTGCGCACCTTGGCCTCCCAAAGTGCTGGATTAGAGGCGTGACTACCATGCCTGGCCAAAATTCTTAATTTTTTAAGATTCTCATTTTTCCTTTCTCTGTTTGAGACAGGATCTTACTTTGTTGTTCAAACTAGAGTACAGCAGTGTAAATATAATTTACTGCGGCTTCAACGTCTCAGGCTCAAGTGATCCTTCCTACCTCAGCCTTCCAAGTTGCTAGGACCACATACTCGTGCCACCAAGCCTGGGCAATTGTTTGTAAAGATGGGGGCTTACCACATTGCCCGGGCTGGTTTTGGATTCCTAAGCTCAAGTGATCCTCCTGCCTCAAACTCCCAAAGTGCTGGGATTACAGGTATGAGTCACCGTATCTGTCTAAGAACCTTGTTTCTCTGGGCATCTTTTTTCTTTTCTTTTTTTTTTTTTTTTTTTTGAGAAAGAGTTTCACTCTGCCGCCCAGGCTGGAGTGCAACGGTGCGGTCTCAGCTCACTGCAACCTCCACCTCCCAGGTTCAAGGAATTCTTGTGCCTCAGCCTCCCAAGTAGCTGGAATTACAGGCACCCACCACCGTACCCAGCTAATTTTTGTATTTTTAGTAGAGACAAGGTTTCACCATGTTGCCCAGGCTGGTCTTGAACTCCTGACTGCAGGTGATCCACCCGCCTCAGCCTCCCAAAGTACTGGGATTACAGGCACGAACCACCACACTAGCCTAAGCATCTTATTTCTACGTATAGAAAGCCTTCTTGAACCTGAAAGGCAGAGGTTGCGGTGAGCCAGTATCATGCCACTGCACTCCAGCCTAGGCAATGAGAGTCAAACTCCGTCTCAAAAAAAAAAAGCCTTCTTTAATTTCTGCCCCAAAGACAAATTGTTTATTACTTTGAATCAAGAGCTCAGTTTAGCAACTGAAAGCAAGAAATTATACAAATTGTTCCACAGAGATTAAAAAGAAAAAGCAGCTAAACTTAGCACCTAAGTGACATAACCCCAATGTAATAGATATGTTGGATATCTTGAGTCCAGTTCATCTTTAGAATCCACTCTATCTTTAGACACACAACGTTAAATTCAAACACTGAGACAATAAATAAGGATTTAGAAAAATAATTACAACTCTGAAATTTCCTTGGCTTCTCACAGTGTAATTTTGCACCCCTTCCCCGACTTTCTTTTTGAGACAGGGTCTTGCTGTCGCTCAGGCTGGAGTGCAGTGGTACAATCAAGGCTTACTGCAGCCTCAAAATCTTGGTATCAAGCAATCCTCCCACCTCAGCCTCCCAAACAGCTGGGACTACAGGTATGAGCCACTAACTGCCTGGTTAATTTCTTAAAACAATTTTCTGAAGAGACAGGATATTGCCGTTTTGTTGTCTTTAAAAGATGGCTGGTTTTAGCCACTACTGAGCTGACTGAGAGCATATATCATGTAAACTCTCTTTATAGGCTTAGAACAGTGTTAATTATTGCTCTTAAATCTCACAGACCTTAGTATAATAATTGGGTTTTACTTTGATCAAGTTCATAATGTGATTCTAGAGCTTCTCAATAGAGAGGCTTAAGAATATAATGTTTCTCAGTGGTTTTTTCCTGCAATACCACTTTTTGTTTTAATTAAATAGGAATGACTCAAGAGCCACCTTTTACCAGACAGTACCCACCACCATGTGTGTCATAAAGGGAGAAAACAGCTTAATACTTATCTAAAATGTTCAGAGAACATTCAGAATTGGTAACAGTAGAATTTTCAACTTTAGAACACATAAGAAAGGGACACTGACAGTGGTCAGGAGTGGAGCCACCTATCCAGAACCACAATTAAGCCTCTTCAGTTCATTAACTACTAAATAACAAACAAAAATAACCAATGTATTATTAGATATGTCTATCACTGCTACCAAAAGAGAAGAAAAATTATTCAAAAGAAAATCTCTTCATATAAAAGGGAAGCAAAATACCCTGTAACTTGAGAAAATGCACTTCTAAAATGAGAAGCAGAATAAAATCAGCCTTTTACTATGTTGTAAAATGATCACTGGGATTGTACGTGACCTGATGATGATTCCTAGGTTATATAAGAAGTTAACAAAATCAGCTGGCATACAACCAGTTTCATTTGGTACATTACCAGTGCTTCTCTACTATGATCAGGGAGCCAGGAGAGTATAAGCACCAATTCTGGTAAGTATTAGACAAAATAATGAAGCTCTTAACTCTGTAATTGACAAATTTCACTTTTTAAAATTTTCAAAAGTCTATTATTTTAGAAACTACTCATAGACTCCTGCCTTCATATGTCATCAGTTTAACAAACAGCTACCGATTATTTATTTATTTATTCTGAGACGGAGTATTGCTCTTGTTACCCAGGCTGGAGTGCAATGACGTGATCTCAGCTCACCGAAACCTCCGCCTCCTGGGTTCAGGCAATTCTCCTGCCTCAGCCTCCTGAAGTAGCTGGGATTACAGGCACGCGCCACCATGCCCAGTTAATTTTTTTTTTTTTTTTTTAGTAGAGATGGGGTTTCACCATGTTGACCAGGATGGTCTCAATCTCTTGACCTCGTGATGCACCCGCCTCAGCCTCCCAAAGTGCTGGGATTACAGGCTTGAGCCACCGCGCCCAGCCTAGCTACCAATTTTTAAGATTAAAAGGTGGAAATTTCTTTACACGTTGGAAAATTTTTAAAAACTAAAAATTAAAACGTTGGTTAATTATAGTCTTGAGTATGCTTTATTATTATATTTGAGTATACTATATTATTATATTCCAGGAAAGAGAGATTCAGAGGGGGGAAAACTGCTTCTTTAATAATGTCGCAAGTCGAGGCTCTTCTGAAGAGCTTTCGGATCCTCAGAGGAACTTTTTTTGAGAAGGAGTTTCACTTTTTTCTTCCTTTTTTTTTGAGATGGAGTTTCACTTCGTTCTTTTTTATTTTTTGAGATCGAGTTTCGATTTTTTTCCTCTTTTTTTTTGAGATGGAGTTTCGCTCTTGTTGCCCAGGCTGGAGTGCAATGGTGCAATCTCAGGTCACGATAACCTCCGCCTCCAACGTTCAAGCGATTCTCCTGCCTCAGCCTCTCAAGTAGCTGCGATTACAGGCATGCACCACCACACCCTGCTAATTTTGTATTTTTAGTAGACACAAGGTTTCTCCATGTTGGTCAGGCTGGTCTCAAACTCCCAACCTCACAGGTGATCCACCTACCTCGGCTTCCCAAAGTGCTGGGATTACAAATTACAGGCATGAGCCACTTCGCCCAGCTGAAAAGCCTATCTTTTAAAAAAATGTATGTAATGAAATTAAATTCTTCTCAGAGAACCTTAAAAATGGAATGAGCCATCCTATTTCCAATTGTTTTAGCCTAGAAGATTGCTGGTTATTTTAAATGATTAATTATTTTGCTTTTCTGAAGTAAGTACTAATGGTATTTCTTCATATCATTTTGATTTGTACCAGCCACACTTTTTGTAAGATTAGTGGAGGTGAGAAATGAGGTTGCAGTATGAATAGACTGTGTTTTACAGAAATGTAGAACAAATCTCAGCATGCCACAGATATTGACAGTTCAACTATCTAGTTCCTTAGCACTAATTAGCATTCCTGTTTTTGAAGACCCACAGCTTAGTCAGTGGCATAACAGAGTGGTTATAAAACAATCTTTTAAAATCAAAATCTACTGGCTTATCTTTTCATTTTTGGGTATAGTTTTATACATGATAACACTAAGTATGCTGATTTCCAACCATAGTAACTCATGCATTCCTTGTTTTAGTTCAAACCACTATTTGTCAATCAGAAACTTAATTACGATATAACATCTTTTCTTTTAATGCTGTAAATGAGTAAGTTTTTTCTCTAAAATCATTTCTGCCCAATTAGTACAAGGTAAATTGTCCCACCTGTGGAATTTTCAGAAGATTCTGTAGAATTTGAATCAGTGCCAGTTTTGTCTTTCAATGTCTGTTTGGCAAGAGTCTCGTCTCTACTTTCTTGTGCTTGGCTTTCATCTTCTTCCTCTTCACCATCTGGAAACTCCCACTGAGACTCGCCCGATTGTTCGTTTACATAGAAATACCGTCTATGATCCCTAAATTACAAGAAAGAAAACACATGTTTTAAAACCCATTCTCCTACAAAGACACTTCCATTTGGTCCTGTCCCAGGACAGCAGTCTGCTCTCACAGGGACGAACCTCTTAACGGACTGCTATTCACAAAGGCAACAAAGAGCTTTGACAATTGAGACTGGAGAACCAAGGATAATTCAAAGCTATTTGCACTGCCAGCAACTCTGTGAATACAGCACTGAACGCTCTCACTCCAACAGATGAGACTTAGAAACATTTTTCTCTTTTTTTTGTTTTTTTGCCAATGCATAACAGGGCTTCAAGTTTCACTAATGAAGGGACTCAATCGCCTAGAACACTAATTTCCCTTCCAAAGAAGAGAACAACGAAGTTTGTGAAAGGTGACTCTTCCCCTCTTGGACCGTGGAATTCACATTTCATATTCTTGATATCAAACACAGTGAAAGCTAAAGAGAGGGAGAGGATCTGGGAGCTGAAAAATAAAAGAGCAAAGATTTCAAATAACGAAAAAAAAAAAATCAAGAAAAGCCAAATATATAAAGAAATGTTTTCATCTGACCTGCTGGCAGAGGATAGTAATCTTGTTCTTCTTTCACATCTTCAGCCACGAAGTTTTCCTTAACTTCACCGATGTTAATCAGGAGTAGTTGCTTCCAGAGGTCCTGTAAAGCGCACAGAGCTCTCGCATGCGCTTAACCCCCAAGCCCGCCCTACTCCGTGCAACACTCTGGAGAGTAAAAACCAGCTTTGTCCGTATCTTGGGAAAAAATCCGTTACATGGAACACTTTAAACATTGCTTTTGTTTCTCCAGTGTGGCTGGCCAAACTTTGTGCTTGCGGTGCTTTCTGCCCAGCACCGCTAACTGCAGCTGCTCTCAGTCTCCAGACAGGCTGTCATGTCGTCAGATGGTGGTGATCACAAATCATGTCTGAGATGTCAAAGGTGAAAGGTGAAAAGGGGAGAAGAGTGCGTACCTGTCCCAGTGGCAGGACCAGCCTTTAGGAGTGGCGTTTATTTCATACTGTTTTAGTTGTTCTGCTGCATCCTGAAGTTTTCGTTTAAGGTAGTTTCCATTAAGAGCCCCTTCCCGCCAGTCTGCAATTCGAGTCTGGAATAAACAGAGAAGTAAGTTAAAAACTTATTATATGTTGGGAGATACAGGCAAAGGGAACATAAGCCTTTTGCTTCAAGACTCTCTCCCTATGCTTTGGCAAAAGAGTAGACCAAAGAGGAAAAGCAAGCCCATCTTTAAGTACACAGCAGATTTCTAAAAAATGAAACTGGGCTCCAGTATATTTTTACACTACCAACTCTCCAGTATCTGTGAAAATGAGTAGTCGTAGTTTTGTCTTCCATTTTGGACTTAGTAAGACTCGTTTCCCCAGTAGGTTTTTTTTTTTTTTTTTTTTTTTTTGAGACGGAGTTTGGTTCTGCTACCCAGGCTGCAGTACAGTGGAGGAATCTCAGCTTACTGCAACATTCGCCTCCTGAGTTCATGCAGTTCTCCTGCCTCAGCTTCCCAAGTAGCTGAGACTACAGGTGTGCACCACCATGCCCAAATAATTTTTTTTAATTGCGCCTACTACTGAGTTGATTTTTTTTTTTTAATTAATTTTGTATTTTTATTAGAGATGGGGATTCACCATGTTAGCTAGACTGGTCTCAAACTCCTGACCTCAGGTGATCCACCTGCCTCAGCCTCCCAAAGTGCTGGGATTATAGGTGTGAGGCACTGTGCCCAGCCATGGGTTCAGCTTTTTTTCTTTAAGAGATGGAGTTTCACTCTTGCTGTCCAGGCTGGAGTGCAATGGTGCAATCTTGGCTCACTGCAACCTCTGCCTCTCAGGTTCAAGTGATTCTCCTACCTCAGCCTCCGGAGTAGCCAAGTAGCTGGAATTACAGGCGACAACCACAACGCTGGGTAATCTGTATTTTAAGTAGAGATAGGGTCTCACCACCATGTTGGCCAGCCTGGTGGCAAACTCAATTCCTGACCTCAGGTGATCCACCCACCTCAGCATCCCAAAGTGCTGGAATTAAAGGTATGAGCCACCGTGCCCAGCCAAGGGTTCAGTTCTTAAGGAAATCAGCCAGCTTCCTACAGGAGCTTCTTACATAATCCTGCCCTGCCATTTTGTAAAGTATGCAGGTTACAAATAGAACTCGACTTTTCTTTTTAAACAGACTGATCATGCTTTAACAATTACAAAGTACCTTCAACATTACATGGTCTCATCTGACCATCAGAATTCTGATTTGTGAAAAAAAAAAGCTATTTATTTTGCTTTGGTTAATCCAGTTTATTTCCTGGATTATTGGCTCAATTATACTTCAAGGTTAAAAATTTAAATTTAGGTTTAAAATGTAAGACAGAGTCATAACACATACAGCATTTCATTCACACACTGTTTATACCAAAAAAGGCTAACTTACCTCAGTCTGTAAGAGCAGCACATGAAAGTTGGAGATGGATTGTCTATTAATGCCTAGGAATTCAAATTTACTTGTCAGGGTATTTGCCAGTTCTCCAATCTGAAACTACAATGCAGAAAAGAAAAAATGTGAAACTAGAATCCATAATATTTTCTGTATTATATACAATCCTTCATTAACACAGACATCAGAAATATGGGTCTGCCTATAAACAGCCTTCCCCCAACAGCTATATTTAGTTATCCAGAATATAAAATTCTAATTTATAGTAACATAATACACATAACAAAGGGACAAATAATGACAGAAGGTCCGCAGGAATGAAATGCATATCTAAATAATCATAACGCATTTTTAAAATTATTTAAAACAATTTTAGGCCGTGCGTAGTGGCTCACGCCTGTAATCCCAGCACTTTGGGAGGCCAAGGCGGGTGGATCACGAGGTCAAGAGATCGAGACCATCCTGGTCAACAAGGTGAAACCCCGTCTCTACTAAAAATACAAAAAGTTAGCTGGGCATGGTGGTGCATGCCTGTAATCCCAGCTACTTAGGAGGCTGAGGCAGGAGAATTGCCTGAACCCAGGAGGCGGAGGTTGCGGTGAGCCAAGATCGCGCCATTGCACTCCAGCCTGGGTAACAAGAGTGAAACTCCGTCTCAAAAAAAAAAAAAAAAAAAAAAAAAAAAAATTTTTTTTTTTTTTTTTTTAGATGAAGGTGCTGCTATTGTCCAGGATGTTCCTGAACTCCCGGTCTCAAGCCATCCTCCTGCATTCAGTCTCCCAAAGTGCTGAGATTACAGATGTGAGCCAGTGTGCCCAGCCCATCATAAGGCATTCTAATACAACATGGAATTCAATAGTTGCAAATGGATCCCAATCTCAAAAAGCTAAACTCAAAGAGTAGAATTAGAACGGTGGTTGCCAGGGGCTAGAAAGAGGGGGATATGGGGAGATACTGGTCAAAGAATACAAGCTTTCAGTTATAAAATAAATTGTGGGGCCAGGAGTGGTGGCTCACACCTGTAATCCCAGCACTTTGGGAATCTGATGCAGGAAAGTTAAGAAGTAAAGAGATGAAAACCATCTTGGTTAACACGGTGAAACTCCACCTTTACTGAAAATACAAAAATAAGCTGGGCATGGTAGTGGGCACGTGTAGTCCCAGCTACTCGGGAGGCTGAGGCAGGAGAATTGCTTGAACCCAGGAGGCAGAGGTTGCAGAGAGCCAAAGTCATGCTACTGCACTCCACTGCACTCTTGCCTGGAGAAAAAGCAAGACTCTGTCTCAAAAAAATAAATAAATAAAATAAATTTGGGGAATCTAAAGTACAGCATGGTGACTACAGTTAGCAATACTGTATTGTATACTTGAAATTTGTTAAGAGTATAGATTTTGGCCGGGCGCGGTGGCTCAAGCCTGTAATCCCAGCACTTTGGGAGGCCGAGGCGGGTGGATCACGAGGTCGAGAGATCGAGACCATCCTGGTCAACATGGTGAAACCCCGTCTCTACTAAAAATACAAAAAATTAGCTGGGCATGGTGGCATGTGCCTGTAATCCCAGCTACTCAGGAGGCTGAGGCAGGAGAATTGCCTGAACCCAGGAGGCAGAGGTTGCGGTGGGCCGAGACCGCGCCATTGCACTCCAGCCCGGGCAACAAGAGCGAAACTCCGTCTAAAAAAAAAAAAAGAGTATAGATTTTAAGTGTTATCCCCACATACACACACAAGACAACTCTGCAAAGTAAGGTGACATGTACGTTAATTTACCTAGTCTGTGATAATCATATCATAATATACACATATAACAATTTATCAGATAGTATGTGGAAGATATATATGTAGCCAATTACAGCTCAACCAAGTTGCAAAAAATAGATCCTGAATGATATAAATACCAATATTGTCAAACTGCCATTTATCCATTAATTGCTTGTATTAGCCACCTGCTGAAGCCTGAAACAAAATTAATTATCCCAGTCCCTTCTATTGGCTGTTCCCAACTAGTAATTGGATACTCTTTTAAGGCAAAAGAATATGTTAAGTGGTTTTCCCAACAGACCACCCTTAAATAGCCAATACTTATTTGATCCAACACACCCATGAGATTAGGTTAGAAATGGAATTTGGATCTGGGCCTAGTGGCTGATGCCTGTAATCCTAGCACTTTGGGAGGCTGAGGCAGGAGGATCACGAGGTCAGGAGTTCAAGACCAGCCTGGCCAACGTGATGAAACCCGTCTCTGAAAGAAAAAAAAAAAAAGCAATTCAAACTAAATTTGCCTTTGTGTAAAGGCAAGTACGTCACATAGGAATTAAATCTGTGACTTTTCTCCAAAACTAGAGAAGCCTATAAACTACTGCTTCTCAAAGAGAGGCTTAATTTGAAGAAAGCATTTAAGCATTTAGAATTTTAAATAATTTCTCAGCATCAAGTCAGCCTTTTAAGTCATTATTTCTGACTTAAACATGATCTTTTCACCTAACCAAGTAAACAATTTAGGTTTGGAAACAGTAAAGATTACTTTTACTACTTGCTAACATGAAGCAGTTTAATGACTGGCATTAAAAAAAAAAATTTATGTGCAAGGCATGGTGGCTCACACCTGTAATCCCAGCACTGTGGGAGGCTGAGCTGGGTGGGTTACCTGAGGTCAGGAGCTCAAGACCAGCCTAACCAACATGATGAAACTCTTTCTCTACTAAAAATACAAAAAATAAGCCAGGTGTGGTGGCGCACACCTATAATCCCAGGTACCTGGGAGGCTGAGAAAGAAGAATCACTTAAACCTGGGAGGTGGAGGTTGCAGTGAGCCAAGGCTGTACCACTGCACTTCAGCCTGGGCAACAGAGTGAGACTTCATCTAAAAAAAAATACATACATTTAAAAAAAATTGTAAAGTTGCATTAAGTAATATACATACTTTCAAATCCTGTTCTTCTTCTACTTTTGGTGTTGTCTGTACTTTTATTTTCTCTGGAGATTCTTCTACTTCTACCTCTTTATCTGAATTCTCATCTATTTTTTCTGAATTTTCAGCACCAATTACTGTAAAGAAAACATGGGAAATTAAACAGAAGTACCAATACTTAAAGAGTACTGTATTGCCGGGCGCGGTGGCTCAAGCCTGTAATCCCAGCAGTTTGGGAGGCCGAGGCGGGTGGATCACGAGGTCGAGAGATCGAGACCATCCTGGTCAACATGGTGAAACCCCGTCTCTACTAAAAGTGCAAAAAATTAGCTGGGCATGGTGGCACGTGCCTGTAATCCCAGTTACTCAGGAGGCTGAGGCAGGAGAATTGCCTGAGCCCAGGAGGCGGAGGTTGCGGTGAGCCGAGATCGCGCCACTGCACTCCAGCCTGGGTAACAAGGGAGAAACTCCGTCCCAAAAAAAAAAAAAAAAAAAAAAAGAGTACTGTATTTATCTTACCCCATAGCAGATATCTGCAAAAGATTATTAATTCTTTTCTTCTCGTCTGTTTTATTTACTTGTTAAAACCCTTGTAACTTATCAGCCTACTGCCTTTATAAGCAACAAACCTAGGGCCAGGCGTGGTGCCTCATGCCTGTAATCCCAGCACTTAGGAAGGCCGAGGTGGGAGGTTCACAAGGTCAGTAGATGGGGAATGTCCTGGCCAACACAGTGAAACCCTATCTCTACTAAAACTACAAAAAATTAGTTGGGTGTGGTAGCACATGCCTGTAGTCCCAGCTACATGGGAGGCTGAGGCAGGAGAATCGCTTGAACCTGAAAAGTGAAGGTTACAGTAAGCCAAGATTGTGTCACTGCACTCCAGCATGGGCCACAGAGTGAAACTGTCTCAAAACAAACAAACAAACAAACAATCCTTTATAATCAACTTTCTTAAAATACATCTATAAATAAAATTTATTCTATCAAATTACTGTGTAGTTTCTGCTTTCCCTTTCTCCGTAACATCTTTTCCAATCTTCTCTTTCATAATACCACTGCATCAATTACTTATGATAGCCAGACAGCAAGCCTGAGACGTGACAATTCTTTAACACAGGTAAGGTGCTCAAAATCAGAGCATCATTATCATTATTATTTTTTAGAGACAGGGTCCCATTCTGTTGCCCAGACTGGACTGCAGTAGCATGATACCGGCTCACTGTAATCTCAACCTCCTACCCTCAAGGGATCCTCTCACCTCAGCCTCCCAAGTAGCACAGACGAAGCCTCTCAGTGTTGCCAAGGTTGGTCTGGAACTCTTCGGCTCATGTAATTCTCCTGCCTCAGCCTACCAAAATGCTGGGATTAAAGGTGTGAGCCAATGCATCTGGCCTAAAACTTTATAGTAAGTCCTTAACCTTATAATATAATAGCCTGGATCTCCATTTGTCTGATCATTAATATTCCCTCTTTATTATCCAATTGTCTGCACTAAAATCTTTCCACTAATCCAATTTATGAATTTTTAATGCCAATGTATATTAAAAAGTCTTTTATCTGGTGGCAGGTACAAGAGTTTAACAATTTGGCCGGGCGCGGTGGCTCACGCCTATAAACCCAGCACTTTGGGAGGTCGAGAAGGGTGGATCACGAGGTCAAGAGATCGACACCATCCTGGTCAACATGGTGAAACCCCATCTCTACTAAAAATACAAAAATTAGCTGGGCATGGTGGCGCATGCCTGTAATCCCAGTACTCAGGAGGCTGAGGCAGGAGAATTGCTTGAATCCAGGAGAGAGAGGTTACGGTGAGCCGAGATTGTGCCATTGCACTCCAGCCTGGGTAACAAGAGCGAAACTCCATCTCAAAAAAAAAAAAAAAAAAAGAATTTAACAATTTTAAGGATAGCTAGAGTTTAAGACTAGAATGTTAGGCCGGGCGCGGTGGCTCACGCCTGTAATCCCAGCACTTTGGGAGGCTGAGGCGGGTGGATCACAAGGTCACGAGATCGAGACCATCCTGGTCTACATGGTGAAACCCCGTCTCTACTAAAAATACAAAAACTAGCTGGGCATGGTGGCGCACGCCTGTAATCCCAGCTACTCGGAAGGCTGAGGCAGGAGAATTGCCTGAACCCAGGAGGAGGAGGTTGCGGTGAGCCAAGATCGCGCCATTGCACTCCAGCCTGGGTAACAAGAGCGAAACTCCGTCTCAAAAAAAAAAAAAAAAAAAAAAAAAAAAAAAATTCAACATGATGTTTACCAAAGTATTATTATTGTGAAACAAAATGCATACATCAAAGAATAAAACCAGATCAGTGAGGTGGCGCAAGCCTACAATTCCAGTACTTTGGAAGGGTGAGGCAGGAGCATCACTTGAGCCCAGGAATTCAAACTTGCTTTATGATTATGTCAACTGCATTCCAGCCTGGGTGACAGCAAATTTCTTTCTCTTAAAAAAAAAAAAAATTCAAGTAAATAGGCCAGGCACAGTGGCTCACACCTGCAATCCCAGCACTTGTGGGAAGCAGAGATGGGCCGATCACCTGAGGTCAGGAGTTTGAGAACAGCCTGGCCAATATGGTGAAATCCTCCCTATCTCTACTAAAAATACAGAAATTAGCTGGGCATGGTGGTGTGTGCCTGTAATCTCAGCTACTTGGGAGGCTGACACAGGAGAATCCCTTGAACTTCGGAGGTGGAGGTTGCAGTGAGCCAAGATAGTGCCACTGCACTCTAACTTGGGTGACAAAGTGAGATCAAAACTCAAAAAAGAAAAAAATAATAATCAAGTAAATATAACACAGCGTTGATATTAGAACATCAAAACACAGACCAGCCTGGCCAACACAGTGAAACCCTGTCTCAACTAAAAATAACTTATGCCTATAGTCCCAGCTACTCGAGAGGCTGAGGCAGGAGAATCACCTGAACCCAGGAGACAGAGTTGCAGTGAGCCAAGATCACTGCAATCCAGCCTGGGCAACAGAGCAAGACTCCATCTCAAAACAAAACAAAAAAGAATATCAAAATATTAAACCACTACCGTCACGGTATCAGTCATTATGTTCCTTTAGCTTCCTCATGGATACCTCTTTAAGCGCAATATACATATACTCTTTTTTTTTTTTTTTTTGAGACGGAGTTTTGCTCGTTACCCAGGCTGGAGTGCAATGGCGGGATCTCAGCTCACCACAACCTCCTCCTCCTGGGTTCAGGCAATTCTCCTGCCTCAGCCCCCTGAGTAGCTGGAATTACAGGCACGTGCCACCATGCCCAGCTAATTTTTCTGTATTTTCAGTAGAGACGGTGTTTCACCATGTTGACCAGGATGGTCTCGATCTCTTGACCTCGTGATCCACCCGCCTTGGCCTCCCAAAGTGCTGGGATTACAGGCTTGAGCCACCGTGCCTGGCTCATATATTCTTATATATATTTTTTCCCCAGGACAGAGTCTCACTGTCACCCAGGCTGAAGTGCAGTGGCACAAACTCTTCTCACTGCGGCTTCCATCTCCTGGGTTCAAGTGATTCTCCTGCCTCAGCCTCCCATGTAGCTGGGATTATAGGTGAGGACCACCATGCCCAGATAATTTTGTATTTTTAGTAGAGACATGGTTTCACCATGTTGGCCAGGATGGTCTCAAAATCCTGACCTCAGAGTGATCTGCCTGCCTTGGCCTCCCAAAGTGCTGGGATTACAGAGGTGAGTCACCACACCCAGCCAAAGCACAGTATTTTTGCTTATTTCTGTATTTATATACATAGAATATTTTAATATATGCATTTTTTCATGGTCTTTTTTGTTTAACTTAACTGTTTTCCTTTCCTTTTTTTTTGTGATACGGAGTCTCACTATTATTGCTGAAGCTGCAGTGCGCTAAGCCGTTATCAGCTCACCACAACCTCTGACTCCCTAGTTCAAGCATTCTCCTGCCTCAGCCTCCCAGCTCGGATTATACGCATGCACCATCACACCCAGCTCATTTTGTAGTTTTGGTAGAGACAGGGTCTCATCATGTTGGTCAGCCTGGTCTTGAACTCCTGACCTCGGGTGATCCACCCGCCTGGGCAACCCAAAGTGCTGGGATTACAGGTGTGAGCCACCGCTCCAGTCTGTTTTCTTCTTTTTCTTTTGAAGCAAGGTCTCACTCAATCACCTATGATGGAGTGTATTGATATAATCATAGCTCACTGCTGCCTCAAACTTTTAAGGGAGAGGGTGTTGCTATGTTGTACAAGCTGGTCTTGATACCTGGCCTCCAAACAATCCTCCTGCTTTGCCCTCCCAAAGTAAATATTATTGTTTCTATGATTAAAGCACACTGATACACATAATTTTGGAACATTAATTTTTTTTTTTTTTTTTGAGACGGAGTTTCGCTCTTGTTACCCAGGCTGGAGTGCAATGGCGCGATCTTGGCTCACCGCAACCTCCGCCTCCTGGGTTCAGGGAATTCTCCTGCCTCAGCCTCCTGAGTAGCTGGGATTACAGGCACGTGCCACCATACCCAGCTGATTTTTTTGTATTTTTTTTTTTTAGTAGAGATGGGGTTTCACCATGTTGACCAGGATGGTCTCGATCTCTTGACCTCGTGATCCACCCGCCTCGGCCTCCGAAAGTGCTGGGATTACAGGCTTGAGCCACTGCGCCCGGCCTTTTTTTTTTTTTTTTTTTTTTTTTGAGATAGAGTTTCACTCTTGTTGCCCAGGCTGGAGTGCAATGGTATGGATTTCGGCTCACTGCAACCTCCACCTTCCGGATTCAAGCGATTTTCCTGCCTCAGCCTCCTGAGTAGCTGGGACTACTGGCAGGCACCACCACGCCAGACTAATTTTTTCACTTTTAGTAGACTTGGGGTTTGCCCATATTGGTAAGGCTAGTCTCAAACTCCCGACCTCAGGTGATCCACCCACCTCGGCCTCCCAAAGTGCTGGGATTACAGACATGAGCCACTGTTGCTTAGTATTCCTTTGTAAGAATATACCACAATTTATCTGAAATACCTTTGATGGACATTTAAGTGCCCTATAGGGTTTTTTTTGAGACGGAGTTTCGCTGTTGTTACCCAGACTAGTGTACAATGGCACAACCTCAGCTCACCGCAACCTCCGCCTTCCAGGTTCAAGCAATT